GTCTCCATTTTCGCCTTTGTCTCAATTTTCGACTTTATCTTCACTTTTGCCTTTTTTTGTCTTCATCGTTATCACTTGTTTCTTCATCTTCATATTTATCTTCATTTCAAAGTTTAATTTCAAATACGAAGTAAAACCAAATGCGAAACCGCTTAAATTGAATAGGTTGCAAAAACAACCATACACAAATATGGAAATTTTTAAACGACGATTTTCAACCAATTTCGAAACAATAAAAACTCTCGTCATCTACAGAAAATTACTTTTCCAACGGTGTTTTTGGATTTGAAATCGGTAACTTTACCTTGGTCTTCATCTTTGTTTTTATCTTTCACAACTTTGCTTATATCCTCTTCTTTTTCTTCTCACGTAGATGAGATGAGGTGCGATGACGTGATAAGATGTGACGTGATGTGATAGGATGTCATGTCATGTGTTGTCATACCCTGTGATGTCATGTCATATGTTGTCATACCATACGATGTCATATCATGTGATGTCAAGTCATGTGATGTCATGCCATATAATGTGATGTCACGTGATATCGTGTGATGTGATATCATATTATGTGATGTAATATCATGTTATGTCTCTTTATATCATGTGATAAAATGTGGTGTGATGTCATGTAATGTGATCACATTCCATGTTCCGATTAGTATATCGTAAACCCTGTTGGTAACTGTGTCGATAAAAATACCGATAACAATATCCATAAACATATAGAAAAATACAACGATTGTAAGATCGATTAATTCATCGATAAATATAACAATCATCAGTATCGATTATTGTACATATCGTTAAAAATATAAATGACTAAATCGATAACAAAATCAATTATTTAATCGATTATTATACCTATAACAATATCCATTATTGTATCGATAACAATATCGATTATTATTATTGATTATTATATCGATTACAATAGCGGTTATTTAATCAATAACAGTATCGATAACAATATAGATTATTTTATCGATAGCAATATCGATTATTATATCGATAAAAATATCGAGTTTTATATCGATAACAATATCGATCTTCACCTCATCCTTTTCTTCATATTTATCTTTATTTTTGCATATTCCTCTCACCTTTACCTTAAAGTGTTTAAATTTACTTTGATCGTCGTTTTTGCCTGAACCTCTAGGCATCTTTGTTTTTGTTTTTATTCTCAAACCGTTAAACCGCTGAGTACCATTTCCATGTGCATTATTCCCCTCGAATTTGACGATTTACTCCCAACCAACTGCCGCTAAAGAAGTTTCACTTCATAAATTCAAGAAATGTTCTTACCATTTCAGTTACCCTAATTCTTATGTATCGGTCATTGTCTCCATTTTCGACTTTATCTTCACTTTTGCCTTCTTTTTTTTGACTTCATCGTTATCATTTATTTCTTCATCTTCATATTTATCTTTATTTCAAAGCTTAATTTCAAATGTGTAGTGAAGCAACCGGCGAAACATGTCAAATTGAACATGTTGCAACATGTATACACAATTCGAAAATGTTTAAACGACGGTTTTGGCCGTAATTTTCAACCAATTGTGAAACCATAAAAACTCTGCTCAACTACGGAAAAATGCCTTTGCAATGGTGTTCTTGGTTTTGAAATCGGTTCGGTAGAATCGCCAAACGAACGGAGACAAAATTTATGTTAGCGTATTAATATATAGATAAGAGGTGTGGGCACGGGTTTGGGCGAGAATAATGTGCAAATAACTTTTGGTGATAAATCGCCGCTCGAATTAACCAAACTATTGTTAATCTCTTGATTTATCTTGAAATCTTGATTTATCCAATAAATTTAATTTTTTATCGAACAACCCGGTTTTTTTCATTCCATACAAGTCTTGAACTCTTAATACAAGTTTTGAGTTTTTCAAGACATTTCCTATTTAAGAGAAACCCCTAAATAGTTTTAAAATTATATCCTTGGTTTTTTGGTGATGAGCAGTATATCATATTTGATTGCAATAAATAAATGTTGGCGTTGAAACGTTTTCTACGTGTTTGGCCGAGCTTCTCCAATTTGGGTTCTGATCCTTGATGTTGTGACACAAATGGAGATCTCTACACTTTTACTCCACGTTCGATGACGCTTTTTTATGGCAGAAGTACACTCGGTGGTTTGCCATTGTCCGCTGGGAAGCGACCGCTATTTGAAAAATCTTTTTTTGATGTTGCTGGGGCCGGAAATTGAACCATGGGCCTCTCGAGTGGCAGTAGTCAGATCTAAGCACCCGGCTACGGCGGCAAGAGCTTTTGATATAAAAAAATATGTTGCAATTATTTTCTTGTGCTCTTTCTAAATAAAAGCTTTACTGTTAATAGTTTTATCGTAATTTTTGGTCGTAACTTCATACAAACATAGCATATCAAGGTTTTTCAAATTACAATTTTTCGAATAACTCGAAACCCGGTGTTGGATAAAAGGCGAATAGTCGAACACCCTAGTGCTTACAACAGAGGATTGAAAAACACAATTTGGTGAGTACAGCCCGTTCACCTCATCAGTGGCGTGTATTTTTGTCTCCTTTCTTATAAAGCGCTTCAAATGTTTGTCGATTTGGCCGTTACAAAAAAACTTCGTCAACTACCTCTTTTTCTTTGTGAAGTTGTCACAGTTCATCATCGCAGGAGCAGCCAAGTTCTTCTTCTGATACTTCTATTGTGTTCGTTTGGTTTTATTGTCCCCTCAAAGATGCCGAGTAGGGGTTTATTTTCAACGTAGCGAAGGCCACACAAACAGGGCCAATCAATTGTTTCTCCACAAGTTTATACGCTTATAAAAAGGATAGGTCGCGAGGTGGCTCTGCTATGCATTTCCTAAATTATCGATAATTTCGATATGTATATTGCTCGAAATGCCACGTTTTGTGTTGAGCACCTAATAAAGACTTTGGCCCCTATTATGAGTTGCATTCGATTTTCGATCTTTGCTGGCTATCGAAGATCGAAGATCGAAAGTGAAATTCGTATTATTATTTTCGTTGAGTATCGAATTTTCTGTCGAACAGAATTTTGCTTTCGTTGGTGTAGCGAAATGTTAAAAAATTTTAAAAATGTATGATTTTGCATTTGTTTTCTTACTTTTTGGCGGCTAGATACTAATTTAAGCAATTTATATTAATTTCAAGCAGTTCTAACGTCGTGAATAGTAAACACAAGCTCGAAAGTCTGGTTTTACATATGAAATAAAATCCCTATACGCTGTTGGCACGATCTCTGGAAACAAAATCATGGAGCTGCTTATAGTTTTAATATATTTTAAATAGATTTGGATCACAAAATTTCTTAAATATATTGTATGTCAAAATATATTCGAAAGACTGAACTTAAACTCCCACGTTTTCTGCTCTTCACCAGTTTTTTAAGCCCTCGTCCTCTGACGAATCGTTCAACCAAAACTCCGTTGTGCTAATTAAATTTTTTTTTACCACGCTTTTTAAACTCACTTTTTATATTTCATTTTAATTAAATTTAAAATTTTAATTTAATTAAAGTACAAAACCGCGTAACGTCATTCTGCAAAACCGCGTAACCGACGTTGGCTGCCAAAAATTGGATTTGCTCACACAAACTATTGGCTTAATCCTTATCCATTCGTCCTGAAATATACTAGCCAGAAATGCGATTGCTTGATAAAAAAGAGAACCATTTTGAAATATGAATGTTTTTACCCTCTAGAAAATAATTTATGCAACCTCACATACGCGGTTTTGCATTATCTTGATACGCGGTTTTGCATTTTGTTGATACGCGGTTTTGTACTTTAAACGACGATATGTACATATGTATAAGCACTCTATTTAGTTTGCTCGATCTGTAAACAAAGCTTCTCAGCGGTGAAAAATATACTATTGTGAACAACTTAAACAAGCGAAATTCACGATAGCGCTATTCTTCATCGAATGAGCGCCATAATACCAAATGAAAATTCGTTCGATTAGCACTTTCGACCACAGCCGAAGATCGAATGCAACTGCCTTAATGATTTATATTTTTTACAAAAACCCAACAATTATTTAAGCGTTCGGACTCATTTTCACCTCTGGACATCAACGAAGGCTTTACCCGGAGTATTTGAATTTCACGAAATATTAATGAATGGGCATAAAGGGACGTGTAAGAATTATACTTTAGACATCCTCAACATCAACTTTCCCCTATGAAAGTGGCGAAAATCTCAATTTAAAAAACTGATACTCGTACGAGTCCCACACGCGTGCCCCGTACAAACAGTTTCATTATTGAAACTTTTGTTGTTAATTAGAGGGACTCCAACCACCATATTAAAAGCATTTGTTAATGTCAGAAAACAATTTCATTTACGTATTTTTTCCTTTATTTGGGCACAAAGCTTCCAAAAATTGAACTTTTATTAAACTTTTAAAACGGTACAAAACATTTAGCCAATTTAATTAATTTTAACCAAAAAGGAGGTCTTAAATAGCTCATGATATTTAAAATTTCTGTTTAAATTTGATTATGCGTTCAACAAGTAAACTCAATTTCCATTAGTAAAATATTAAAAAGTCTACTAAGCTAAATCAGTTAATAAATACAATTGGGGTATTCACAACGGTGTCGTAAGTGTCGTATTGTTGTATGTCGTAAACTTTAAACGCCGAAAAAATATATTAAGGGGGTTCGTAAAGTACCATAAAAGTCATATTAAGCATTTGTGCATATGTGTTAAAAAATAGTTGGTTATGGTTTCAAGTTCTCTAAACATTTATTTAAGCTTTTAAAGTTTACGACATACAACAATACGACACTTACGACACCGTTGTGAATCCCTCAAATGCAGTTAGTGTGGGTTAATCACTTTGGAATGCGAATACAATGACGTATTCAATACACAATAGGACATTGCATTGTTTTGCTCTTATTTTAAGTGTCTAAGCAAATTTATTCAAAAGGATCAATTTCTAAATTGATTGTAGTTTGGAACTGCCGAACTCAATTGTGAGGGTATGTTCTACGTCTATTTAAAACTACATTTTAATTGAAACGAACATATTATAAGCTCACACGAATATCTACAAACATACATATCTTCTTAAATAAGTAACAATTTTACTTATGTACATATATATGTGTTTTTATATACAATTGGGTCTGTGTACATTAAGGCACAAGCCACATTCCTGAAAAGTTGTGCACAAATTTTGTTTCAATATGTAATGTTTAATGTCCTAATACAGCATAAATTATATTTAACAATCTAAATATATGCATACATATGCAGCTTTTGCTTTAATTTGTGTACATTATCATTTCTAATAAGCATGATAGTATACATCCACACATCCGCAACGTGTTCTGTGATAAAGAACAAATCAAGTAAATTTTAGTGTAGCCCATGGTGACTTTCACAATCGTTTAAAACTAAGTCACCTTAAGTAGATATACACTTATACATTAAACCAATCAAATAGATGTCATTGAGAGAAACTCAATAAATGTATAAAGATATTTTGTAAATTTTTTGCGTTTTATAACAAATTTCAGTAAAATTCTTCACGAAATTCGCGATTTGCGCCACGACATAGCCAAGGTACTTATATAGATCATGAGAGTTCGCCGATTGGTGCATTTTGCAACCACAAATCGTGTATGAAATTGTATAAGTTGTCACTAACAGCAACCTGGAAAGAAATTAAAAAAAAAAAATTATTTAGTTATTGTATAAAATTATACTTGTTGGGAGATTAAGTTGAAAACCAAGCTTAATTTTAAATTACCAACTTTAGGTCACAGAGCAATTACTCTGTGTTCGAATGGGTGACACTTTTTTCGCTATTCGGACAATGGTTTTCTCATTATTTTAATTGTAGCGATATATATATCATTTTAAGTACAAAACGGCGTACCAACAAAATGTAGAACCGCGTATCAAGATAATGCCAAACCGCGTATGTGAGGTTGCTTAAATTATTTTCTAGAGAGTAAAAACACTCATATTTCAAAATGGTTCTCTTTTTTCTAAAGCAATCATATTTCTGGCTAGTATATTTCAGGACGAATTGATAAGGATTGAGTCACGAGCTTGTGTGAGAAAATCCAATTTTTGGCAAAAATTTTCAGTTACGCGGTTTTGCAGAAGTACGATATATATCGTCGTTTAAAGTACAAAACCGCGTATCGTCATTCTGCGAATCCGCGTAACTGACATTGGCTGCCAAAACTTGGATATGCTCACACAAACTCTTGGCTGAATCCTTATCCATTCGTCCTGAAATATACCAGCCAGAAATGCGATTGCTTTATAAAAAAGAGGACCATTTTGAAATATGAGTGTTTTTACTCTCTATAAAATAATTTATGCAACCTCACATACGCGGTTTTACATTATCTTGATACGCGGTTTTGCATTTTGTTGATACGCGGTTTTGCATTTTGTTGATACGCGGTATTGTACTTTAAACGACGATATACAAAATTTATATTTAGGCGCATTACTTATGACAACAGTTATGCGATGAATTTCGCCATTGCGTGGGTACAGAACTAGTAATCTCCCTTCAAATGGTTTCTTTCCATGTAAGTATGTATATTTGGTGAAACGAAGTTCATGTGATATATCTTGTTCGATTCAAGATCAAAATATGAGTAAAGCAATGTCTTCTTGCAGTCTTCAAGCCAACAGATTTCAATTTTAAATATCTCGAAATCCATAGCTGACCTAAAGAAAATGATTTGCACCACTAGTTTCGGGGTAATCGAAGTAGGTTTTCCCGTCCGGTAGCCAGAGTTGGGGGTAGGTAGTGCACTAAATTTTGAATGCAAAAAACTAGTGCTAGTGCTATTTTATTTCACTATAACTAAATTTGTTGGTAGTGAATAAATTCGCATTACACTCGAATAGTGCTACATATATTTAAACAGTCACTACATACATATAAGCTGCAGATAAAAATATTTTCACTAAACTTTCAAAATCATCAAGCAAAAAGCCCCACAATCAACTTTTTTCAAAAGTTTACCATATTGTTCTAGATTTTAGTGCATATGCTATATATCTAGTTAAATTCGCAATTATTTAAAATCTTACCTTGTAGGGCGTTGGATTTAGTGTGCGTTTGTGATCATTCCGCAATGTTTTAAGAGAAATTTGTACCTTCTCCCGAACTTGTTCCAGCGTAGGCAGCTGTTGCGTTATTTTACCGTCCTTCCAAAAGACTTTGTACAATAATTCAACATGTGAGGGAATTACGTAGGCACGCTTCGATTCTTGAAACGGATGGCGGCATAAAACCTTTTGACCAATACTTGGGGGTGGTTCCGTAACCTTTTGCAACAAATCTATCAAAGCATGGCCATCGGCGCTGTACAGTCTGTAAAAGAAAAAATATTTTAATAGTCTCGTCAAGAAGTTATAAACTTTTTTTGCAGAATTTGACGTGGTACAATAAAGGTTCTTCTTCTTGATGTATTGTGGAACGATTTTTCGTCATCCATTGTCAAATTTGATTTGGAAACAAACCGGTTTAGGCGGCCGCCGCTGTGGTATAGTGGTAGGCAGTGCGCGCTTCCACTCCGAAGGGCCTGGGTTCAAACCCTGGTCAAAGCAACATCGCAAAAAATATAGGAAAAGGGTTTTTTCTTAACAGCAATGGCAGGCAATGGCAAACATGTTCAATAAATGACTATAAATCATATTACGGTCAAGCTGCAGGGATGGTATTTTTAGCGATTGTAGTCAAAAGTTCAAGCCATAATTTAAGCTTAAGTAGAAGGCTCTATAAAGACTGAATAAGAAGAAATATACGGTCCTGTTTTGTTTTCCACCTTAAATAATTAAAAAAAAAGTATTATGTTCGAAATGCAACCGTGGACGCCAGCTGGCTATGAAGCTTGCGAATTTCTGCAAATTCCTGTTCGCGCACTTTGAAAGTTTGATACCTTATTCTCTGAATTTTGTTACTGGCAATTATTACTGGCTTTTCCAAACGAACACAACTACTATCAGCTTATTGTCAAAAAATTTGGCATTTCCTCTTATCTATTACTAGCCAATGCCCGCTTGCTCCGCGGCGCCTAATAAGATCTTTTGCGTTGGCCAATACAAAACTAGCGTTTAAAAGCAAAAGCGGTCTTAAAAAGTAAACATTTTTAGTTTAAATTGAAACGAATAAAGAGCAGAATCCTCCTCACACATAGGCCAATAATAGTAGCGCTGTGATACCATATGGAATACTAATCCCTTTCGATGTCATGATGTCTTACTTCCACCTGTGAGATCTCTGCCAAGCGTGCGTAATATTCTTCAATGATCTTGCAGCTTCAACATTGGTCTGATGTACAATGTAAGCCAATAAAAGTCCTTATAAGGAAACTAAAGAACACAGATGAGCGGTTTCAGTTATAGAAGGGCCAAGAATCCTCGCCCCCCACAGGATGAAAAGTTTTCCCGTACATTGACTAAATGAGTCGTGTGATCTCTTAAATATCGTTCAAATGGAGCCATTGATATACCTACCGTGTTCCTTTTTTTACGAACGTAGTCGAATCTTTCCTTGTCAATTGCCATTTTTACAATTTACCTTAATATTTATGAACTGGTTTATTTGAGTCTTACTGCTGTACTAAAGCCGCCCCGAGCATTTTCCTCAATCGGAGGTAGGTGCAAGATCGCATTTAGGGTGTATGAGGTCGTCAGGCAAAGGTGCACTTACACAATGTTGCGGTCTTTACATGCATACTTAAACGAACCCTCCCTTTAGCCATATGAAGAGTAAATTCGTCTAAGATGAATATAGGGCCAAAGCAGACAAAACCCCGTGTGGGTTTTTATATATTTCGGCTGCAGCGCAATTCATTTGGTCCCTTTCCTGCAAAACCACTGCCTGTCATGAAATGAATACGCATTATGAATTTCAATCAGATTTTATAAAATATAGCTGGTCGTTTTTAGGAACGAATTTTTCATCATACAGGTAGCTCACTTTGCGAATTTGAACGAAATCGGTTAATAAATACGACTTTTATAAGTAACTCTACTCCATCACCACCAGCGCATTGTCTAGTAGGCTATAATAGGACCATATATGCAAGGTATAACCTCCGACAATTTGACTCGAATTAACATTAACAAAATCGGTTCATAATAGGGCTTTTATCAGGTCCGTTTTTCGCAAATGCGCTTTTCATCATGCAGGTAGCTTATACTTTGAATTTGAACGAAATCGGTTCATAAATACGACTTTTATAAATAACTCTACTCCCGCGCCACCTAGCGGCTCTAATTTTGGTAAACATATTTTCGAGTTAAGGAATCTCTTTCGGATTAAATCAGACTACTTCGGACTTTTTCTGACTATTTCTACATTTTGTACATATCGTTAGCTTAATATAGAATATAGAAAGGCCCTATCTGAAATTTTTGTTTCTTTACGGAGTGGTGAAAAAACTTCCTACAAAATCAAGTCGTTTTGCTGCGAGTTTCTTTAAAAAGCTGCTTTTATTTAAGAATGTAACTAATTTTATGCTATAGTAAGTATTTTTAAAATCCAGTAGGTGCTTGGTGGGTTATCGGCAGACTTTTGTACAATACTGGATTTGAAAAGAAAATTAGTAAGGGTATTTCTATATTAAGGTAACGATATACATACTGTAATAATCCATTCTTGATAAAAAATTTGAGAATTTTGAAATATGCTGGATTTCTCACCGGGCCCGGACTTTCAAAGGGGCCCACATTTTTCCGAAAATAAAAAATTATAATTCTTTCCAAATGTATAATTTGATTGTTTAATATTCACACACAGTTATTAGAAATTCTAACAAATGTTAAAGCGTATTTGTACCCCCGGACCCGTTGTAAGTTAAGAATATTAACGAAAACGGAGATGGAGAAGATGAAAATAAAAGAGGAGGGGTGAAATAACTTTTATCAGACAACGTAAAAATAAACGTTGAGAAATAACTCTTTTTGGTGACGGAAAACATATTTCTCCTGCATAACAGTTATAAGGCAACGTTAAAAGTCTGTGGTTATGGAACAACGTTTTTCCGATAAAACTTATAACTGTTATGTCCTTGTTTCAAATAACAGGAAGCTTTTAATTTCACCTTTTACATATAGAGTAAATACATAAATACTCTCAAACCTATGTATGTATGTTGGCATGTACCTGAAAGCATTTTTGTGTCCCGGCATGGTCACCTTTTCGACATCTTGACTTAATTTCATACGCGGCTGTCCATTTATTTCTACTAGCTTGTAAACACAACCCAGGGCTGGCTGGCGTTGACAAGTCACTAAAAATTAAATAATATATTTTTTTTTCATTACTTTAAGTTCTCCTATATTTTCATATAATAACAACTTACCTAAATGTGTACCGATTCCGAAACAATCGATTTTATGGCCCTGCTCATTCAAGCTAAGAATTGTATCTTCATTAATATCATTCGACGCTACAATTGTCAATTTATTGAACCATGGCACTTTGAAACGTTCAGCAACCTTTTCGAATGTTTCACGCGCCAAACAGGATAAATAGGCCAAATCGCCGGAATCGATACGAATACCAACCGCATGATAGCCTAAATCGTTGAGTGCTAATGCAACAGCAGAGAAATTCAAAAGTCCGCTTCTGTAGTTGGCAATCAGATTTCGTAAAGAGAAAATATAAAATTACGAATATAAAAGCTCAAGTTAAGTGCAATATAGAAGCAAACGCTTTTACTGTTTAAAAAATAAAATTATAAGTGCCTACATACAGTGTGTATCCAGTTTATAAGACCGTTAAAAAACTAGCCAAAATGTTTAATGGGGTTAACGCACACAAAGATTTGATAGAAAACAGACGATCATATTCAGATAATCAATTTAAATACAGATTTATGATTATTTTAGAAAATTAACTTGCATTCAAGTTTTTATATATATTTACATAAGTAGTCAATGCTGGCCATTTGAATAGAGAAAATGCAATCCAAATTTCAAATTCGAATTCATAATGTCATTTAGTTTTGTGTCTATTCAGTTATAATTTCTAATAAATAATTTTTATTAATTACTAAATAATCATATCTAGATATTTTTATTGATACCGCTATAGATATTAAAATCGATCGTTGGCGCTGCGATGGGATATCTTTGGAGTTGCCATACAAATTTTAAATTTATATTCATATGTACGTGGAATTAATATTTATTTGTGGCTTCTCACTGCATCATATAGTAAAAGGCTGAACTTTCATTGCCATTTACAAATGTTACCCTTCTACAAAGCAAAATGCTTCATGTTAAGAAAACTATGTTTCTATTTTGAAAATCTTAATGATCTAAAAAATCGATTTGAGAACATCTTAACGGTCTAAAAACTATAAATTTCGTTTTTATGTATATCTAACCTTAAATAACTTCAATAAATGTGCTTCTAACTAAAATGTATCAATTAAATAGTCGAAAATCTAAGTATGTATGTATAAGCGAATGTGCTTCAACATATAAATTTTGCTGCTTCTAATTGTAAATCGTTGATAATAAACGATGCTACATACATTTCTGTATTCCTATTGCGATTATCGAATTTATTTGCACTTAATCTGATTTGTATGTATGTAAGTATGTGCGTTTCGGGTAGAAGAAATTATGTTTTAGTATGAAGTTCTGATAAAAGAAAACAGCAAAATTCGAACACAACAAATTAATAATACAAAGTTTCGAAGTTAATAAAATGCACAGAAACACACAAGCCATGCAGTGTCCTCTCTCGGAAACAATTTTTTTCTATTGTGAATAGGACTAGTGCAAATATTAGAGTTACATACATAAAAACAGTTGAATGAAAACAATAAATGTATTATTTCTATGAAATAGACATGTATTTTTGATGTTATATAGGTATGTACCTTTCTAGTCCATAATTATGTAAGTTCCACATATTTTTTTAATGTGTGTATATATAAATGTATATAATTGGATTTTTTAAGTACACTTAATATTATAAACAATATTTCATTACATTGATAAACAATATCATCCACATAACTACTACATACATCCCTTATGAACACACATGTAAATGTCCACAGACAACACGTATGTATGTAGTACATGTATACTTAATATACATAAATATTGAAAACCCATTTGTACGTTTAGTGAATTTTTTGTATGGGGAATGTATATGAGAAATGAAGAAATTGTTTTTTTTTTCAAATTATACTACACAAATTTGTGGATTTCGTTTTACATACCTCTGCCAAAATAGTGCCGGGAAGTCATTTTTATTGAGGCTCGGGTTTTCGCCTTTTAGTAAATATATTTAATTCATATAAAGTAAAATATTAGGTTTTTACGATCACGTCTGATGCAGGTTAGCTATGCATGCGCCAAAAATGAATTACAAATGTTGAAATGTTATTGACGATATACTTGAAATGAAAACTTAAAATAAAAAAAGCGAGATGTCAGTGCTTGTACAATAGAATGGTCGAAAAATGCATGAAAAAAATCAGCTTATTAGAATCTACCTGCTGTCCCCTGCCAGAATTATGTAAAATGATAAACAAAAAGCCCGTATTTTTTCAATTAGAAATCTGTTAATATTTGATGGTGCCGCTGGCGCGTCGAAGTTTCCGTTGTATTTTTTTGTACAATTGCTATGAAACGTTGAAAGCCGATATTTTTTTGATCGAATAAAAATATTTGCTTTCAGAAATCTTCAAAACACAAAATTATGATGCATATTTAACATCTAAATTGTACTTTTTTTTCATAACCGATAATCTTGTCTCTGATATACAAAATTGAATTATTTTATGCGTTCGTAGTCACATCACTCACGAACAGCTCAAAGGATTTGTTAATTTTTTTTTATTATTTCTGTTGCTTGAAAAAGCACTTTGCTTTTGCTTTAAAATCTCTTGGAGAAATAACGAGCATTTTTTTCTGGAGTGCTGCAAACTGATTTAAGAAATTTTGATAGAAGAAAATTTATTTTCCATTTCTTGTGCGTCATTTTATATGAATTTTTCATTTTTTTAAGAGCTGGAAACAGCCCTTTAAAATACACAGTGCAACAAATTTGAAAAAGTTGGAGGTGGTGGGAGTCGGACCAAAAGCATTTGACTAAGCTGGTCAAATAATGAAGAAGTACCAAAGGATTTGCAAAATTGGTTACCATTTCTTTTTTATCTCAATTTGTAATTTCGTGTTTTCAGGTATAATTTCTTGAAAAAAAGTAATAAAAACACATTTTGCAAAGATAAAGGAGAAGGGATGGGAGGAATTTATTAGTTTTATTATATAGGTATGTACGTATGTATATATGTACATATGTATATGTTTGTAGGTATGAAATTTGTGAGCAAACCAAAAAAATCATTGTACTTGTTTATTTTTGAACCCTGAATTCACGAATTTAAATCGATGTAAAAAGCAAATTGGGACCAACTTTTTAAAATGCTTTGGATGGTATTTATTCATATTTTAATTTCTATTAATGAATGCAATTGGTCTCATTCCCATCACTTTTTGAGTGATCAAAATAAAAAAATATGTTCTTTAGTTCTGGGGGTTGGCTGAAAAAAAAAGTTTGGACCACCATAATGTACATACATATGTAGATACTATGAATGTGTGAATGTGTACGATAGCAAAAAAATATGCGAGCCTATTATAATAGCTATACAATTTTCCATTTAAGTTAGACGATTCGTTTCAAGGACAATTAATCGGTTAAATTTATTTAAAAGAAAAAAATATATAATAAGAGGGAGAAGAAAATAAAGGGCGTTTCGAAGAGCGAAAAGCAAATCATTCGGATGCGAATACTTGGCTCTATGAACTTTCATTAATCCGTGTCGCGTTTCGAATCGCATTGAGTTTCCAATCGCAATACAGATTAGAACCCTGGTTAATTTTATTTGAAAAAATATCAATATCTAGGCGACAGAAGAAAGCAGTTTAACGAAAATGGGGTAAGAAATAATCGGGTTATACAAGTATCATAAAATTTGCATTCAGAAACATTTTTAAATTGTTTAAAAAATGTATCATTTTAAAAACATTGGGTTAATTTTTATTTGATTTTAGCATACATATGTATGTACCCACGGACACCTGAAATTTACATTTGTCTTATTTAATACTATACACTTCTCTATCGCTATTCCACGGTACATGTGTATGCTTTTTTAACATAAATGAGCAAAAATAAGAATGCATATGAGATATTATAACGAATGCATACACATGAATCTGAGTATTTATGTACATACATATATTTATGTGTAAATTTGCCTTGCAGTGTTGAATATAAAAAAAAAAAATTTTAATTTAATGATACTGATATGGCATGAGAAAGATTAAAAAAAAAAATCCTTCGGTAACATTTCTAAATTCAATCAAGTGTTAGAGCTAATGTATGTTCATATCTATGTATACGCAGCANTGGTAAAAAGAAAAAATTTTGAGCCACCCTAATATACATACAGTGAAGCCCGCTTAAGACCCCCCCCCCCGCATAAGTACCTAACCCGCTTAAGTAACCAACATTTTTGGGCAATGTGAAATTTGAATGTAATCGGAAGAAAATACCTCTCTTAAAACCTCCCCGCTTATTTACACAGCCCGCCTAAGTACCTAAATTTTTCATACCCCATTTACCATTTTACTTATAGTTTTCCCCTCTTAAGTACTCTTTTAAGATTTCTTAAAATATTTACACATTCTGAAATTCAGTGACAGCGCTACTCACCTTCGGCAAAAAATCAAAAAAATAAACGGTAATTTTTAGTCAGTTGAAACTTGCCATTATTACACTAAAATTTAGTTTGAAATTTTGATGAATTTTTGTGTTTTTCAAAATCTTAAGCTTCGGTTTATATGATAAGGGAATTAACTGTATTTAATTGAACAATCTTAAAATTTATTAAAAAATAAACTGAAAGGGCAAACAATATTATTCTGAATTCGGTCCAAAATTAGATGTCCAACACTGTTTGTAAGAATATATAAATATATATAATCAATGAAATTAAAAAAAAATTTAATTCCTGTAACAATTACATACTTTGCTTTATCATTTTTTCTAATAAAGTTTTTTTTGTTTGTTTATCTGTTTAAATAATGCTACGATCTTGGTTTTAAGTTTCGTATTCTTGATTAAACGTTCATGTTCTAGTCAAAGATTTACATATCAATACAAGTTAAAAAGAAGGTGTAACTACATCAATAATTATGTTCGCTTAAGTACCTGCATCGAGGTACTTAAGCGGGTTCTTTTAAGTACCCAACCTGCTGACATTTTTCGTGAGGTACTTAAGCAGGTTTTACTGTAATTAGAAACATTTACGTCTCTGGCATACAAAAAATGCACCAGAATACATCGCACGTTTAATAATATAACGAAGTATATAAAAATTTCAATTTTGTGGGAAAACGCAATCAAAGTTTTATCATTCATACAGTTAGTATACAAAATGACAGATGGAGACACATATCTTCACCATATTTGGGAAATTTGGTTATCTGTTAGACTGAACATATTCTACTTATTTATATTACATTTTGAGTTACATGTCTATATTATTAAACATGCGGCATATACATACCTATTTCGCTGGCTTAAAGTGAAAAGTT